GCCCAGTAGTGGGATTGCTGGGTCATATGGTAATTCTATTTTTAGTTTTTTAAGGAACCTCCATACTGTTCTCCATAGTGGCTGTATCAATTTACATTCCCACCAGTAGTGCAAGAGGGTTCCCTTTTCTCCACGCCCTCTCCAGCATTTGTTGTTTGTAGATTTTCTGATGATGCCCATTCTTTTTCATCAGTGCTTGTGCTGGGTAAATTGTGCTGGGTAAGTAAGCCAGCAAATGGGTTCCTCATAGAGCATGGGCCAGAAGCAGATGCTCAGGGAGCGAGGAAGAACTCTTAATGAGTGTAGCTGTCCACCAGGGGTGGATTGCGTAAAGTAATGAGAAGAGGAGCCTGGTTTTTGCTCATTACCTGTAGAAGTTCATCCAGACTTACTTGGTTGTATGACACACTGAAATAGCTGGAACATCAGTAAAAAGGGATTAATTACCTTATATTCCTTTGGAGATTGCATGTGAAAGATTGTATAATCTGGTGCTTTTTAATTATCCATTTTGGCACTCACTTGTAATGAAGTTAAGTGTGGTATTTGCAAGTTTAAAACCCTGAGTTTTAAGCAAAGAACTGTAGATACTATCAGTCTCCTCTTTGTTTAAGCTATTAGTTGATGATTGTTACCAGCAAGCACCTTTGAACTGATATTTTATAAAATAATAATACTCTATTGAAGATTGAGCTCTTTTATACCGGCACCAAGTTTTGCAAGATATCCAAGGGACCTTGATGTGAAAATTACTGATTTTCTGATATGCTCCTAGTTTTCCTTTAGCCCCTCTTTATCTCTCAGACTGATAATCTCTGTACTGTTATCTCAGAGGAGACGTTCCCAAGACTCACGAACCATTTTTTCATTCCATTCATAGTATTTTGCTTTATTTCAAAAGTACAGGCTGTTGCTTATTAGTTGGCTATATATTTGATATGTTCCTATCTTGTTACTTTTCATAATCTGTTTTCCCCATTTTGGTTAGAAATAGAGTAGAGATTATGATTTAGATTGAAGAGGGTAATGTGTGAGGAATTTTAATCTTCTGTCTTTTGTTTTTGAGAGCTAGGTTATTCAAAGCAAAGGCTAAAAACCAGGCACATAGAGCCCTAGTGTAAGAGGAACCTTGTGGGAAACAGGAAGGCCTTCCTTCCTAGCCTTCTTGAAGCGTTAAATCTCCTTGAGGAGATGACATAAACATATAGAAGAAAAAACAAAAGCAGTGTTTAGATAGCGTATGACAAATTTTGTATTACAGAATACTTACATAGTGCTTTGCATGTGACAGAAAACAGAAAACATAAGGTAGCTGACATTTATTTAAAAGGGAGGGAGTGAAATGTGAATTCTGAGAATGAGAAAACTGGAAACTCAGGCTCCATGAGGGCAGACACCATGTCTGTTCATCATTGCCTGCCTACTCAGTGCCTGCCACTGTCCCTGATAGGTGGTAGGCTTTCAGTTAATATATGTTGGATAAGCGAATATCTATTTGTTGAACAAACTGAAGAGTGCCTTGAAGGAAATAATTTATTTGGGCAGAGGTGAAATGAAAAGGCTTGAGAAAATATTAGGAGGTAGAAATAATAGATGACTGAATACATCAGAATACCAACCTGGATGGAGCTGTGAGAATGAGCAGGAAAGTTCTGAGAAATAAGGCCGTGTCAGTGGTAGGTTAGGGTCAAATTATAAATAGTTTTGATTGCTGGACTTAGGGATTTGTTTTTTAAACAAAGTGGGGTTTTTCTGAACAGATGGTCACATTGTTAAAGTAGTGTTCAGGAATACTGTCTGAAGACACAGTGATTGTCTTCAGGTTGCAGTGAGAAAGAGATTGGAGACCAGCTTTGATTCCAGTTGCAATATTGGATAGGAATTCTTTGGCCAGTAGTCATGCTCAATAAAATTAATATTTCTTTACATGTAATAATATATTACATACCGGTGCTTTTTAAGCCCTGGTGATTGAACATAAGGACATAGCTGTCTTTTTCATTATTTATTTAATTTTCCATGGCATTTTGTTTATTGATCTTCATGGCTTTTTTGTGAGATCATGGTATAAATTTTGAATACATTTGTTCTTTTCTTGTTTGCCTTTTGTTAATGTCAAGCATAGCACGTGAGACATTCCTTGTTGCTATGCAACTGCTAAATTCAGTATTTAGTATTAATAAAACTGAATGGCATTAAATTCAGTTAACAGGGGGAAGCAAAATATGACTTAACAATGTCTGATCAGTATTTGTACGGTTTAATGTATTGTTGCAGACGTGAGCAAAAGAGAAGTGACTTGTTTACAGTTACTGTTTTGATCAAAATTAGTTGTAGTTAAATCTTTGCATTTATGACCAGATTTTTTTTCTTGTTTGATTCTTTTTGGTCTGTCCCTTTCACTGCTCTTTGATAATGTGATTCAGTTTTTGTTAGTGTTTGTGTGTTATTGATGAAGTTCTTATTCTATTATTCTTTCCAATTCTGTTATCTTCTGTAATTTTTAAAATTTCATCTCCCAAGGCTTTTATTTGCTTTTTTTTCCCTTAGTATTATTTTTTGCTCTATTTACATTTTTCCCTTTCAAGAATTTATGGCTAAGCATCCACATTTGGAATTTGTTACAATTTCATATAAACCCAGGTGAAAGCCTATTAGATATGCTCTTCAGAGTAAGGGCCACCTGTAATCCCCTTTAGTTATTTGCAGTGTGTACTTGGTACTTGCCAGATATTGAAGTGCTTTCATTAATATTTGTGAAGTCAGAAATCCGTTTTGAGGATAAGAGGGCTTTAGAGGCAGCTGCAGGATTTTTTTTTTTTAAGTTAGTGTTGAAAATATCTAGTTTGCAGGCCCAGGATAGGCAGTATCTAGCAATTCTTTCTCATTCCCTCATCACCACCTCCCCACTCTCAAAACCCTTAGCCCAACACTTTCTCTCCTCCCTAGTGTAGGGAAGAGAGGACATAGTAATTTAGTGGACAGTGTTTTAATTATAGTAGGCAAACAATAAACAGGATAGATACCTCCCATTTGCTTGAATGGGTAGTTTGGTTTTGCTGATGTCCTTGGAATTATTTTGATGGGAAGAACTAAGGAGAGTTGAAAAACGATTAATCCTTGATAATAAATGAAAAATCTAGAATCTAGAAATCATGAAAATAATTTAGAAAAACCAACTCTCTAACTACAGTGCAGATGATACAAACTCTAGGGATTACCCTATTGAAAATGATGGCTTAATATTAAGGGCAAAGAAATCCCTTACATTACAATGTTAGTCTTACAACCAGGTAAAATACTGTTTCTAGGGACCATCTTTTCTACTCTCTTACTTTCCAAACCCTTTATGGTGATTGTATTTGTGGTTAGGAAGTGTCCCTGTTTGTGGACCTCATGTATCCACCTGGCTATAGTATCTTTACATTAGTAGTTCCCTCACTTTTGAACGTAAGAGTGCTTTTTTAACAATTAAAAATAAATTATAAACCCTTAGGTGATAATACATTATGTGACAAAATACATAGTGCCCCAAACTACTAGGAATTCAGTAACACTTTATATGTTTTCTTAATTGCAGTAATATTTGTGTGCATTTGAAAAGTTGTATGTACACTGAATGCACAAGACCTTTCTAAAGGTCATGCTTAAAGGACATGGACTCATGGACCTCTTGTAATTATTTGAGCTCCTAATGAGGTCCATGATACATAATTTGGGAACTGCTGCACTAATGAATCATGTATTATGTTGTATAAAGGTACAATTTGATTCTCTTTTGCATTTTCCTCCTTACTCTTAATAACCCATAGAAAACAGCAAGATGGCAAAGATATTTTTACATTGTTTTTCATTGAGTTAATCAGCAACATTTGAGATAATAAATTAGAAAAGGTTTTGTTTTCATTTTCTACTTTTTTCTTTTAGAACTTTCTAAAGGAATTTTTTAAAATATATTTTAAAATTTTATTTGGCTGTGTCGGGTGTTAGTTGTGGTTCGCAGGATCTTCTATTGCAGTGCGCGGGCTTCTTCCTAGTTGTGGCACGCAGGCTCAGTAGTTGCAGCACGCAGGCTCTCTAGTTGTGGTGCGTGGGTCAGTAGTTGTGGCACGTGGGCTCTCTAGTTGTGGCACACAGGCTCTACAGCACGCAGGCTCAGTAGTTACAGCACGTGGGCTTAGTTGCCCTGTGGCATGTGGGATCTTATTTCCGTGACCAGGGATTGAACCTGCGTTCTCTGCGTTGGAAGGTGGATTCTTAACCACTGGACCACCAGGGAAGTCCCCTCATTTTCTACTTTGTACTGATTGAGAGTGGTAATAGTTTAAACATCTATGTATAGGTATATTTGAATTCTCTTTCTCTCTCTCTCTCTTTCTTTTTGTATGTGTAACTAGTGGGTTCTAGCTTCATAAAGGAACCAGTGAGTAGTTACTGTGGCAGTGTGAACTAATTACAGAAGTCTTTTTCTTTTATAATATTTAAAATGGGCTTTTTTGTGTGTGCATGTGATACAGATGTTGTTTTCAGTTAGGATTTTCCTTCTTAAAAAATACTGTTAGATTGAAGAGTCTATTATCTCAGTTCATATTCAGAAACATGCCATTTAGATTAACCCAGAACATTGGAAAATTTGAAGCAATTTGACTCTTTCATTGGGGAAGGTGCTTTTTAAAATGAAGTTTGAAAGTTTATGTAAAGAGGTATTTGGAATTTTGTAAGATAGTAAGAGATCTCATGATTCCATTCCTTCATTGGTTATTTCTACTGTTGTTTTGTATTGTCTTGGAATGGGCTCTGAATTTGTATTGAGTGTTATTCACTGACAAAAATGCAAATGCTCCCTTTAGATTGGTCATATACTCTTCTCAGCATCCCATCAGTAATAATCTGGAGGTCCTTGAGAATTGGAAGAAAACACCATTGTTTTTTCATGCAACAAGGTTAAATTTACTGTAGGGAATATTATTGTAATAATGGATTTTTTTTCATCCTTTTAGGGTTTGAAAGTATTCTTGAAGGGCTGTTTGGACCTGCATTATTAAAAGATCTCAGTTTATTTAAAGGTATTCAGAATTTTTTTGACATTTCAAATTCTTCCTGGTGACATAAATGATACCTTGGTGATTTAAGCCCCAGTCTCCTTCTCCTTTTTATTCACAGTTTTATGTGGGTTGAAGCTATATCCATTTAAGCATCTTTTTGTGTGTGGTTGATAATGCAGATATATGTGTGAATAAGGTGTATTAACTAGTGAGCAATTATTGCAAATAAGGAATTTGTCTACTACTTAGTGAGGGGTGTTTTTGTTGTTAAAATAAATAATATTTTTGAAATTAGTTCTCATTTGTTTCCTGAAAAATCCTCTTTTGTAACTGTTAATTTGTTATTCCTACTATTTTTGCAGACTGTGAACCTGAAAGCATTTCCGATTGGACTTTTGATGAAAATTGTCTGTTCTGTTGCTTGAGAAGAGATAAAGTAAAGGTAACCAAGAAACTTGTGAAACTTGTCTAGTGTGGTATTTTATAGTTTTTATTTTTCCAAAATTTGGTTACTTTGTTGGAGGATTTGTAGGAGTACTGATTCCATATTTATTCATAAACGATTTGATAGTAACTCAGTTTTGCAATTTAGACTGTTTCTAGTCTGTTGATTAGCCTATTGAAATCTGTATCCCATCATGCATTGTTCTATTTATTTAGTTCACTAGGCAGAATAATGAACTAGGTCTCAAACTGTTGTGTTTATTTTAAATATGAAATGTATGGTAATTCACGTAATGGGAGTCATTCGTACAGTAACATGGATCTGGATCAAGTAGTTATTAATTCATGTAGATTTATGATGGACTGTGGTTTATGCTTTAGTATGTTTCTTCATAATATATGAGCATGGATGCTGTTTGTGTTCAGTTGTAAAAATTGGCTGTACCTTTGCATTTCTGTTGTTTTATTGCTTTGTGTTAAACATAAAAAGAATTTTGGTTTAGAAACATTTCAGTTGTTGGAAACATTTATTAATAATGGTTTACTCTCTTGTGTTTCTTTTTATGGTATTTCTGTTCCCTGCTTTAAAGCTTTGGAAACATTTTTAATTCCTTCCTCTCCCCTGTACACTTCTAACTTCAAATCATTGACCAGGTTTTATCAGTTCTTCCATTCTTTTTCTTTCTACAGTCATCACCATAGTTCAGACCTTTAGCATTATTTCTGGACTGCTGAAATAACATGATTGGTCTCTTAGTTTTCTTCAGTGTGTGAAACACTGCTACATGGTTAAAGCCCTCTCCTCCCTACCTCCTCCTGACCCTCACCCCTCAAATGGTGTGGAAATGTTACCCTGCACTCAGTCTCCAGTGACTTTACAGTTATCTTTGGGATTCATTAGCCTCATGCTCAGTGCCTCAGTACCCTCCACAGGTCAGTCCACTTCTCGTTCTAATGCTACCCCACTAGTCTTCCATGCAAAACTGGTCTGATCGTTTGTATTAAACAACAAGCTTTTACCATTTGAACTACAGCATTGCATACCCGTTGTTCTTTATAGCTTGAAATTCCCCTTGCTCTTACTCTTACCTTGACTCCCCTTTCTTATTAATGGTACACCTCTGCTCTTATTGCTGTTTCCACCCTTCACACTGTTGTAGTAAATATTATACCAATTATTTGTCAAGTAATATTCTGCCTTTTGTTGTTTATCCTTTTCTGTGTTTGAATCTTGTGTTCCTGACTACACTGTCAACCTCTGAAGACCATGAAACATGACATGCTTCTTTGTACCCCTGCATATGACCACTCTTCCATTATTTACCATTGTTGGAAAGTTGCTTTAAAATCAAAGCCAATTTAAGAGCTTCTTAACGTTCTTCTTTTGTGGCATCTTTTTCTTGCTCAAGTACATGAAAAAGTTTTTGCTGTGACTATCCAGGATGGTCTGTTTTTATTGAATTAATGAGTAAAGTGTTTTGAAATTTACTGTGGTTTGAAAAAGACCAGAAGATTAAGCAGCTACCAATGAAGTTAAAGTTCATCATTTTAAACTGTGTGTGTCTGTGTGTGTGTGCGTGCACACACATATGTGTTGTGACTGTCTATTGAACAAGTTATTTAATAGGCATTTTGGTAGCATAGAAGGAGCCAATGATTAATTACCTTTCTTTCAGAATTGGCTTGGGAGGAAAGCCTTTCTATGTTCAATAATTGAGTACAGTATAGTCTTGTAATATGATTGAGCTTTCCATTGCTATATGAGGATAAAATATTGCATGAATATTTTTAGAAGAAAACAGAAATAGCAACGCATGGAACCATGTAGCATTTAACCATGTAGCAGCTGTTCTTACTGTTCGTAGTTCTATAATTTTTAGTTAGTATTCTAATTAGGAAGAATATTTCCGTTTGAAAACCCACCTAGATCTGGGAAAGCTGGTTTTCTCCATTAGGCATTTCACTACCTGTCTTGGGCATTTATTTTTTTCAGAGACAGCCATGTCTATGGAAAATAGGAAGAGAGAGCCTAGAATATATAACTTGTCAGGTGTATAGCTTTAGTTGTGTTAGATTTAAAGTGATTTTGTTGAAACTCTTTGCAGGCACTTGGAGCATCTTATCTGAGAAGCACTAGAATCTGGAAATTAAATGTATCCATTGGGTTGAGGCTTGGCTGACTTAAGATTCCAAAAATAGAAGAAATATGTGGAGAGAATGGTAACAGCCAAGAGGTGGCAGCATAGAGCACAATATTGGAATCTTAAGTTGGGGCTGGCATGCCGAGATGTCTAGATAATGTTTGGAAAAGCTGTTAGAAATACTGGTCTGATATTTGGGAATGAGATGGAGGTTATGCATATTTTTTAGTTAATTGGATTTTCATTGGATGCTGTTACAATGGATAAAGTAAATACATTATTTATATTTACTTTTTAAAATATCTAGGTGAAAAATGAAGTTGCATCTTTGGAAAATATAACAAGTATTCAGCTAGAAATTAGTAAAACAATTGTTCATCTACACTTCAGCAGTTAGAAAATATATTTTGTAAGGGAAAGACAACTAACATTTTTTTTGAGCATATACTATGTGTCATTTACTTTTGTTTCCATTTAGTCTACACAACAATGCTATAAAGTTGGTTAAAGGCATCCCAGTTTTACAAATAAAGATATGGGAAGGGTCACAGAGACTAAGTTATGGGCAAAGTCACATAGCTGGGATTTGATCCATGTTTTTAGAATACATGCATTTTGATAACAAAACTAGAAACACGAACATGGAAAGTGATCAAGTAAGAATCAAGAAGCATTTGGGATTACTCAGTTGGAAAGGGGGAGAGAGTAAGAGTGTAAATGGACATGGGTATATTTGAAATAGCCAGTCTCAGATGTGCTAGGAGTCACTGCCTGCCTGCCTGCCTGCCTGCCTTGCTTGGCTTTTACTTCCTTTCCTTCCTTTCCTGTTTGTTGGGCATGTAGTAGACATGCTAAAATACTTACTAAATGAGGAACTAAGAAGTCAGCATGCTTAATAAAGTTGGAGAATTATAATAGTAATAGCTAACTGTTGTGAGTGCTTACATGTGCCAAGAATATATACAAAGTTCTCTGTGTATTATTCACTCATGAGGCTTTTTACTTTTTCTTAGCTTCTTTTTAAAATTATTTTAGACATATAAAACGGTTGCAAAAATAATAAAAAGAATTCCTCTATACCCTTTACCCAGGTTTCCCAAATGTTAACATCTTATGTAACCACAGTACAGTTATAAAAAATCAAGAAATTAACATTGATACAGTACTATAATCTGCAAGCCTTTCAGAATTCACCAGTTACCCCAGTAATGTCATTTTTCTGGTCCAGGAGCCAATCTAGGATCACACTTTGTATTTAGTTGTCATGTCTCCGTAGTCTCCTTTAGTCTGGAATAGTTCTCAGTTTTTCTTTGCCTTTCATAACATTGACAGTTTTGAAGAATGCTGGCAATTTGATTTGTAGAATGCCCCTCAATTTAAGTATTTCTGATGATTCCTCATGATTGAATTCAGGTTATGCATTTTTGGCAAGAACTCTACAGAATTGATGTTGTGTCATCCTTAGTGCACCATATTGGGAAGCACATGGTGATGTTTACTTTGATCACTTGGTTAAGATGGTGTCTGCCAGTTTTCTCTACTGTAAGGTTTCTGTTTTTTTCCCTTTTGTGGAAATCGTGGAGACGTACTTTGAGATTTTGTAAGTATCTTTTTCTCATCATACTAGTTTCTCATCATACATTAATTTTAGCATCAATTGATGAACCTTGCCTGAAAAAATTACTAGTATGGTGTTTACCAGATGATGACTTTCTATTTGTATTATTTCTTCAATCTCTATTAGCTGGAAACCTATTGTAAGGAAGAGGTTTCCCTTCTCTATTTATGTTTTTGTTTGTTTACCCATCAATATGGACTTACATATTCTTATTTTGTTCTTTTGGTTATAATTTATTACAATCATTGTTTATTTTGTAGTTTGAATTGTTCTGGATTTGGCCATTGAGAGCCCATTCAGGTTGGCTCTTCATCTTTTTTTTTTTTTAAACATGTTTCTATCATTTCTTTACTTTTTGGCACCAAAAAATATTCCACAACTTATCTTTGCTTTCCCTGTCCCAACCCTGGATTTCCCCAAGGAATCCTAGTTTCTTTTATTTAGAAAATTGTATAAGAAAGCAAGGTACTAGGTATACTCATTGGTACTAGAACATCACTGCTTCTAGGCCTCATCAGTTGTCTGAGCTAGGAAGTATGTATGTTTACTTAAATATATGTATACATACATCTGTATTTCTTTCTATATCTGTTAGAAACCGTCTTGTGAGGCTTTTATTAATTGTAGGATCGTGTTGATAGTATGAAGAGCTGATCCAATAGTAGTGAGAGAGTATTGGAGAGATGGGAAGAATTAAAAATTACTTTCATTATTTCATATCCCTAAAAATGGACTAATTCTAAGCAATGAATCAGTCTGTAGTAATGGCTGTTCTTGTACATGGATAGAGTAGAGATAGCAATTATAGAGTAAAGAGCATGGATGTTTTAGTAACTAAGGATAATGTAAGATGGGATGTTGTGCAAAAATATAAAATGTTTATGCTCTTAAGTTTATTATAAGACTGTTAGTAAGTTCAGTATTTGACTAGCATATTAGGAGGATGTTTTAAGAAGGTGGGACTTGAGCTGCATTTTTGAAGAATACATAGGTCTGGATAGGCAGACACAGGAGGGACACACCTTGGGTGGAGCAGAGCATTTATTTTTGTAAGTAACCAGCGATAAGACTAGAGTCACATTATAGATCTCTTTCAGTGCCCACCTACCCTCAGGAATCATGTAACTAGATAGATTTCATTAGTCTGTCATGTGTTTACTGTGAACATTTCATAGTTTCCTCTGTTTTATGAGTATACACTAATTAGAAGTTTAGATATATCCTTCTAACATTTTAATT